TTACTTTCACCACTTCCAGCAGCTCGTTCTTCATCCCATGCCTCATCCCAATATATTTCTGTGTGCACAATAGTCTAACACCTGTTTATCTAAAGACTGTTCTTTGCAGCTGCACAAAATAATCTTTTCGAACAGAATTATTGAGAATCAATCCATTTTTTTTACAACGAATCGGGAAAGAATAAAATAATGACTGTCTCCATCGAGCTCCACCGTCAGTTAGCTCCCAGGATTGAGAGGACCTACACGAGAAAGGAGTAAAATAAAGAACGGAGAGACGAAGATGACGATGTTGTTTACCTGCATGGAAAATTTCGCCACAACGTCGGCGGCGGATAGATCGAGATCGGTTGGATCGGAGTCGTCATCTTGGTGGTACCGCTTCTGGCGCTCGAAGAAATCATCGCTGGAAATTGACGAGGAGCTCTGCACAAATGTTGGCACGGACGTCAAATGGAAAACCAGAAAGGACATCTATGACTGACCGAGAATTTCATGAGACGCGTTTGGCTGTCAGCATCGACGGTGGTGACCTTGTTTTCGTTGAAAAACTGGGACGATGATATCGATTTGGCGTTGGCGAACTTCTTCTGTGCCTCGTTGCTTTCTTCGACCTTACAAAATCTGGATCGTTAGCGAGACGACGAGAAATAAATGCTCTTGACTTACATGTTTGGAGCGGGCAGTGCTAGCAGACGACTTGTGGTTTCCATTAGAGAACTGCGAGAAAAAGTCTCCATTAGCCGATGGCGCCGAAATATGCCCATTTGTGGACTTTGACGACGACTCCTCGTCTTTCCAAGTAAAACGCGCAATTCGAGGCTGGGGCGCAGGGACAGGAGCGGGCGCTCGAGACACCACAGGAGGAATCTCTTCTGGCTTCTGGTCGTAAAGACTATCATTTGTCTGCAAAGACGTTTTGACGAAGTTCGTTAAAAGTTCTACCATACAAAGAAAAGGCAAACAGTACCTTGGCTGTGAGCTTCTTGATTCCCAGGCCACCGGACTTGGTCACGCCGTTTTTCTTTGCGAGAACTTGCGCAGGCTTCCTTGAAGAAACAGTGGTGGTGGTGGTAGCAGCAGCCGGAATTGGAGCTGGAGCTCCTGCTGCTGTTACTGCTGGAGGAGCAAAATTGTCGAAGAAGAAAGAATCATCGCTAGTTTTCTCGTCCGGAACCTTGGAGTTTGTCGAGGAACGTCCGTTACAAGCGGCGGCTTCTTTGGCAAGAAGCTGCCTGTAGAGATCAGCCGCTCTAGACTTATACTTGGACTCGTTCTTACCACTCTCGGTCCACCCATGCTGCTTAAAGAAGGTCTGTGCTCGGGCATTGCCACCAAAGTCCATGAGTTTTAAATGCTCTTGACTCCAAGAGTCTAGGATTGTGGACCTGGATCCAGCAGAGATTTTGTTTTAAGCCGCGAAGAACAAGCAAAGAAACTTTCATACCTCACGAAGCTAATGTGGACACCGAGGCTCCTGTGCATCGAGGAGCAGTCAAGGCACACGAAAATTCCATACGTTGTGGAGGCCCACGACGGATTCTTGGCATTGCAGTCAAAGCACAGCTACAAAACAAGAGAACCAAAGCCTCGCACATTGTCAGCTCCAAATCGCCGGCATTGGGCACTTCCCTACCTTGTTCTCCGGCCGCGCCTTGAGCTTCTTGAAGAGCAAATCCCGGTCCAGAACCTCGGCGCCGGCCCCCGACATTGCTCGCCTGCTCCTGGAATCGCCTAGCGCATCCCAGATCTAACTCGCCGGGCCCTAAGAACCCTAAATCCCAACCACAGGGAATAGGAGATGGCACACACCTTTCGCCTTTTGGCTGTTGGCGAGTGCCAACCAACAGTAAAAAATCAAAAAATAAAGGGGAAATCAAACAATGACAAGACCTAAGAGCGTTTTAGGGCATAGCAGCATATTCTTTAGAAAATGCCTTGCGTCCATCCGACGGCTGTGATTACGGTCACCCACGTGTTTTGGTCAAACGGCGATCAAAAGTCCTCCGCGTAACACGTGTCCAGCTTGAAACACGGAACTTCTGGCGATCGTCGGATCGCGGCCGAGAACGAAGCTTCGCGGAAGCTGCAGTACCGATCTTGAGAAGATTGGCGGGCTGTCACGTGCGCGTTTACGGCCGCCTTTGACTGAGAGTCAGCAGATGGACGGCTGGGATGGGGCGCAGCCTGGCAGCTGGAGCCACGCGATGGCCGCCGCGTGGATGAGCGTAAGAGTTTTAGGGTTTATATAGTCCTCCCAGTTGAACAGGCCCCAACCGCAAATTTCACACACCACAGAGGCGAAGAACACCTTCCTTGATCCTCGCGGGGAATTCAACTTAGAATTCTTCTCACAGGGTTGAAGGGAACAGAGAAAAATTCGAGTTGATCGTGCGCGCAATGGCGACCGCCACATTCATCGAAGAGTCTCACGCGCACAGGAGAGGGCCGCTCTCGGTCAGCAAATCCTCCACGAGAATTGCCAAGCTCCGGCGAGGAGGGTCAGCAGCAGCGGCGGTGGCAGCGGGCACTGGAGCTGGAGCTGGATCTAATCAGCGCCCACCGCCGGCGGTGTACAAGATCGAGCCCGAGGGATTCCGGAGCTTGGTCCAGGAACTCACAGGCCCCAATTCCTCCTCGATGGCTCACAACCAGCAGCATCACCAGCAGGAGCAGCAGCCCAAGAGGCTCCATGGCTTAGCTCCTCCTCCAATCTCGCCATTCAAGCCCTCCTTCTACACTCCCAGCCTCAGCCCCAAATTCGAGCAGCTCCTCAGCTCCTCCTCGCCCAAATTCGCCTTCGCTCCGCTCACGTTCTCGCCGCTAGCGGATCTCACGCCGCGCGACAGCGTCTGGGCCAGCGGATTGGAATCGCCCGAGATCAAATCTAGCTCCTTCTCGGCTCTCATCGCCGGCGGCGACGATAGCAGCAAGATCGAGCGCGCTGGCTCCTTCACATTCTCGCCAAGGCTTCTCCAGGGCTCATCCTTGGCTGGCTATGGCCTTGGCGGAGGATTCAGCTCGGATTTTAACTTCTCCAACTTGTGATGGAGTCCAATTTTTTTTCTCGTCTCTATCGTTCTTCCCAAGATGATACTTTTCACCCTCTTTGTAAATTTAAAGCAAGGCTTTTACCTTTGTTTACATATACAACACAACAAATATACCACAGCTTATTTACCACTTGTGTGATTATTTACACCGAGTTTCCAGCATCCTCCTTGTCCACTGTTAGCCAATCGTTCGATCCCATCCTCTCGTGTTTCTTCGCGCACTCCTCATCGATCTCTTCCTCGGATTTTGCTTTGGTGTCGAGCTCCACCCAGCCTTGGGCTTTAGCGGCGCGTTGGATCTTGCCATCGTCGTGATCATCCTCTAGATCACTGAAGGAAACATCATCCTCGTCGTTCCCTGCCGCCGAGATCTCTTTTTTGGTGTTCCCTGCGTTTGATCCTGTAGCTTCCTCGTCCAGCCATTCATCCGCCTCGTTCTCCTCGGAGGATTTCGCCGCCGCGAGCTTCACTGTGCTTGGGATAGCGTCCTTATCCACGACAAGGGAATCGTCGGCTTTGATAGCAGTAGCAGTAGTAGCCTGGACTTCTTCTTCATGACGAAGCTGTTCCAAAAGAATCTTTCGGGCCTCGAGAACCTGAAGGAAAGGAAGGAAAGTAGCAAGCGTACAGTGAAAGTAGAAGTACTTCTCTTACCTGTGGTGTAGACAAAAGCGCGGCATCCTCCTGGCTCAGCCGGGGATGGACGAGGACGAAATAGATCTTCCAAAAACGTCCCTCGTTCATATGCCGGGGACAAATCTCGACTTTCAAGGCGGCGAGCCTCAACGCAGCACGCTCCACTGCATAAGCGTGGTCCTTTTGGAAGCTGTTCATCTCAAATCCTGGAAGAAAAAAGACATTTTTTTCTCCTGCTAAGCGATCCTCAAGGTAAACAATGTCAAAACACTTCCCATACCGTTTTGAAGATCATCGTCCGAGGCAAGAGGAAAGTCGAGCCACGTCTCGGGATGTAAAGAGACGTTCCTCGCAAACGCGACAACCTCGTCAGTGAGCCCCGGGACCTCGATGGCGTCGTCTGGCTCGTCATCAAACAAGAACAAGCTCGACGCAAGCTTGGACACTCCATCCACCAGAGTCGCCGCCGAAATCCCCATCTTGGAAGACGACTCCACGCCACCACCACGACTGGTATCTTCTTCGTCATCAACAGGAGTAACCTGGCCGGCCGGTTTGTCGCTGGAGAGAACGTTGTCAATCAAAGGCTTGAGCAGCCCCGCGATTCCATGATCCTGGGAAGCTCCCTCCGGCTTGTCACTGCTCCGGGACTCATCCCCCCGGATCACCGATGACAAGCGCGACAAACCTTTCGCGAATCCTCCCTTGAGTTCCGCAAAGTCGCTTTGCATTCCACTCAGCTTCTCTTTCTCAACAATACCAACACCGGCATTCTCCACTCCTTGATTTGCCTGATAATCATCTCGAGAAGTCTCCTCTTCTACCTTGGGAGAATTTTCTCTGCGTGACTTTGGCGGCGGCGCAAGAAAAGAAGCTACCCCCCACAGCGATTGCGTGAGAGACTTCCGCAATTCAGCCAGATCCTCCCCCACGCTCTGCCCCGGCTCAAAAAGCTCCGGATCGTCCCAAAATTCTGCTCCACCCTCATCCTTCTCTTCCTTGTCCTCCTTTTCCTTGAGAACCCCTGTCAAGGAGCGCGAAATCCACGACATTCCTCTTGCCCTTGCCGATAGATCGCTACATTCTACTCATTGCTGCCCCGCAAAAGCCCTAACCCTAATCACACAAGCAAAACTCTAGCCAACGGACGCAAGACACGTGGACTAAAGCAAAAGGTTTGTCAGGAATGGGATTCGAACCCATGCCCTTGCGGACTAGTACCTGAAACTAGCGCCTTAGACCAACTCGGCCATCCTGACTATTGATAGATATTAGAGACTATTTCCTACGTGTCCATACCTCTTTGGACAAGGTGCTACTTCTTAGGGTTAGGGCTCTTCCAGCTTCCAGGCGCGATGACGGAGGATCAACAGCACAAGAAAGAGGCGGCCGTGGCGTATGACTACGACGGCGATCCTCGCTGGGCGGATTACTGGTCCAATGTGCTTGTGCCCTCGCATTTGGCCGCAAGGCCAGAGGTTTTGCGGCATTTCAAGCTCAAGTTCTACCAGAGATACGTTGTAAGTTTATCTAGAACTCAAAAAATAGTTTTTTTTCTTTCGTGCTGCAAATCTATCTCCGTAAAGCATGAGATTGATGGATGAGAGATGTTTTGTGATGTTTTTCCAGGATCCGGACCTTGTTGTGGATCCTCTTTCAGCGATTTCTTCCCCGAGATCGTCTTCCAACTCGGAGCCAAGAGTGCAAAGACGATCTGCGACTGGAGGTACTTTTTTTCTTCTTCTTTCCATCTCCGTTAGAAGCAATTGAGAATTCTCTTTGCAGCTGATCGCAGCAGCACAACGCCTCCACCGGAGACCACTCGCCAGCAGTCTCCACCAGCGTCTACTGCTTCCAGGAGCTCTTTCAGAATGGATCCTCCAACGATACAGTTCCTTGCCAATGCTTGGGTATGTCAAAGTTGTTCATCTTTTCGTTCTACTTGTTTTATCCTGAAAAAGTGATCCTCCTGCGCTAACATTTCTCGTTTGATTCTTTGGCAGGTCACAGTGATGGCTGTTTTGGCTATGTTTCCTTTCCTTCCTTATGCACTAGCGGAGAAGGCTTACAGGTTAACTCTACTTGGCTCGGCAGCAACTAACTTGTATTGTATTGCGAACCAGCACGGGGTAGAGTGATTGTTTTTCGATCGTCCTGTTTTCCTGATCTTATTTTTCAGGCTCCGGCGGCTTGGAATCTCCAAGGCTTGCAAAATTGGCTCCGATCAATCTTTGAGACTACTGGAAACGACTTCCTCTATCTTTTGTACGCGTTCTTTTTTGTCTCGGCATCTATTCCTCTCAAAGGTACTCTCTTTGTTCCTTTTGTTCTTTCTGAAGGCTCAGTGGACGAAATGTCTGCGCAGTTGCTGTGATTCCTTTGGCTATACGCTCTCTGGAGCAAGTAGTGTACCATCTAAGACGGAATTTCAGCAACACTCGACTTTACAGGTCTTGTCACTTTGATCTTCCTAGAGGTGGTCTTTACAATTTTTTCTTTCATTCTCCAGAAAGTATCTCGACAAGCCATCAAACTGGGTGGCTTCCAACTCAAACCTTTTGAAGAGTCTCAGTGCCAACGCTGAGATCGGACTTGGTTTCTTGCTAATCATCCTGCTACTAACGTAAGTTTCTTTTTTCTCTATTCTCTCTAAATCCTCGTTTCGATGATGCAGGCCGCAGCGAAACATCATCCAAGCATTCGTTCACTGGAGGGTAAGTTTCTCTTTTGTAGATTTCGTGTTTTCTCGCTAGCAATTCCTGAGCTCTCGAATTTCTTATCGCAGCTTCTTAAAATGATGTACGCGCTTCCAAGCACGGCACCATATCACCGAAGCTCTTGGTCGGCTATTGGCAGAAGGGTGAACCCACTTATCCACCAATACGCTCCATCTCTCGCAACACCCATGGCCTATTTGCAACGATGGTTCGTCTCATAGCCAAGTTCTTATCTTTCTCGATCCAACCAAAAAAAAGTTTGGAGCTTCGATCAAACGCTTTTCTTTCTCAGCGGCAAGAATTCCATAGAGCTATTTTTTTTCGAGCAGCTGCTTGGTGGTTTTGAGTGGGGTCTTCTTCGCTATAGGCTATTATCTTCTTTACGGTATAGTGGAGAAGCAGGGCTAGGGCAAAGGCTAGGGTTCTTAGTTGCTATGGCTCCCGGTCGGAGGAAATCGGCGTCGGCAGGGGCACCAGCAGGTCCCAGGAAGGCCTGGAATGTTGGCGATTTGGTTCTGGCGAAGGTGAAGGGCTATCCGGCATGGCCAGCAAAGGTATGGCGAGTTTTTCTCGGTTCTTCTGGTCTACATTGTGTTGCTTGCGATGAGAATCGTGTGATTTCTGCCTGGAATGCGCTGCCTTGGTCCGCATTGTGCTGGAAATGGCTTCTGGGTTGTGAGATTTTTCTTGCCGCTTTGTTTCCTTAGGTGAGCACACCGGAGAAGCACAAGATGAGTCCCAAGTCCTCGAAAGTTTTCGTGGAGTATTTTGGAACGAACGACCTGTAAGCTTTTTTCTTTCGTAGAGTTCTTTCAGGAAAGTCTATGACGGTTTGTGTTCGTGGTGTTGTTTCAGTGGCTTCGTCCAGAGAAAAGAAGTCTCGGAGTTTACACCTGCGGCTCGGGCCATCATCGTCGAGAAGGCCAAGTCTGCGCACAAATCTTTCAAGGCTGCGGTCAAAGGGATCTGTGACTATGTCGACAGTTTCAAGGAAAAGCTGATAGATGGAGGAAAAGCGGCTAAGGAGCTCGCGGAAGCTGTTTCGAGCGAAGACCATCAGTCAGGTAGTGGCACTGATTCTCCGGCCAGGAATGTAGATGGTGGGGATTCGATGGGAGTTGTGAGCAGGGATAGTGAAGCTGGTCCGGCGGCAGCAGTTTCTTCTGGCGGCGATACAACGGACCGAGGTGAAGTTGTAGACGAGCAGGAGTTTGGGAGGAAACACGACGAAACGGCTGATGGAAACTCTGCGAAACCGCTGGGTGAGGAGGAAAGGCTGGATCCTTTGAACAGCTTTGCAAGCGCTGCGTGCTTGGTGCTGGATAAGCTAACTGCCGAGGCAGATAACTCAAGGTGTCTGTCCGTGGAGGATAATGCCGAAAGAAAAGTAAAGACGGTGTCAGAGCAGATCGAGAAAGCTGAAGATGCCGTGGACAAAGATGAAAAGATGGAAACTAGGCAAGGATTTGAAGCTGCGAGGGACAGAATACATGAAGAGGGGGATGAAAGAGAAATATTTGAAGCTGAGAGAGAGAATGCCACCGAGAAGCTGGATGAGAGAGAAGGATCTGAAGCTAAAGCTGAAAAGGAAAATGTCACGAGGGAGCTGGATGGCGGAGAACGCTTCGGAGCAGAGACAGAGAATGTGACAGCGGGAAATGAGAATCTGGATGACAGAGAAGGCGTTGGCCTGAACAATCCCGAGTCGGAACCAGATGCAGGAGTCTCTCCTCTTGCTATTGTGGTGGAAGCGAAGATCCTGAAAACATACGAGAGGAGGAAGAGGGCGGTAAAAAGTGGTGAAAAATCAGAAAAGAAACAAGATGGTGGGAAAGAATATAAGGACGACAAAGGACAGCCAAGTGGCGAATCTTTGAAAGCGCATACAAAACTTGACACGAAGAACACTGAGAAGCTGGAGAAGAAACTGTTGAAGAAATCGAAGGCGGATGTTTCCGATGGGAAGAATTCTAAAAATGAGAAGCTTAGGCGTACTGATTCGGATGCTACAAAGAAACGGAAGGTCGACTCTGAAGATGATGTGAAGAGAAGGGATAAACACAGGGACAGGAAGGACGAAACTTTGCCACCGTCCAAGCGGCAGAAGTTTTTGAGAGTGGACCGTGAAGACTTCGATTCCCTGGACAAGAGGGTGAAAGGAGAAAGAGAGAGCCAAACGAAAGCCGTCCAGACGACGACGAAGACTGTGACTGTGTTAGCGAAGGAACTGCCTGAGCTTTCTCCGGTTTCTGCCGCAGCACCTCCGAAGCTCTTTGAGGAAGATACCAACAAAGTTCGTGCGGCGTAAGTTCTTTGTTTGCCTTCGCTCTTCTTGAACTCATACTAAGGACTTGAATTTTACTGACAGTTATGAAGCTGCAAAGGAGATGAAGCAGCGGTTAGCTCAGAAAGATGAGACGTCCTCCGCATCTATGAAGTTCCTAAAAGCTGCAGCTCAGGCGAAGCAGAGAATAGAAACGACCTCCACAACCTCAAACCGCGAGTCGCCACTCTTTATGCGGCCCAACTCTGATAAGTACCATAAGGCCAGTCCATCTCAACGCCGAAGTAGTGGCGAGAAGCACATTCAGCTCAGGACCAAAGGCGTCGACAAGCTGGAAACCTTTCGAGGCATGTTGGAAACTCTCACACGGTCGAAAGAGAGCATCTCCAAGGCAACCCGCTTTGCTATGGAGTGTGCGAATAAAGGCCTCGGGAAAAAGGTACAAAGTCTCATTCTCACTTTTCGTTTCAAGTTGACGAGCTTCTATGCACAGGTGATGGACGTAATCATGCGCAAGCTTAAGAACGAGCGGGATCACAAAAAGCGGGTGGATGTCTTATTCCTGGTAGACTCCTTGACGCAATACTATCATCAGAAAGGTGTGTGAAATGCTTTCTTTGTTGTTCGTCCCTGTGCTGACTTTGTCTGGAGTCGCCTCAGGAACATCCGGCCGCGGCTATGCCCACATTGTGGAGGCGTGCTTGGTTCGCTTTCTGTCGGCAGTAGCGCCCCCAAACAGTCCATCGGAGAACCGTCAGCAATGTGTCAAGGTTGGTGCGAGAACTTTATTTCTTTTGTTTAGTTCGCCAGCTTCTCGTAGTAATTGATTTCTTCCTAGGTGGTGAGTCTCTGGCTCAAGAGGGATATCATGCAAGAATCGCTGCTGAAAGACACCATGGCGAAGCTGGAAGCAGGACTAAACACAACGCAGCGGCAGTACCAGCGGCAAGACCGCGCGATCGACGATCCATTACGTGGTCTAGACGACATGCTAGTCGATGAATATGGGAGGTAATCCTTTCTTTGTTCTTCCTGGCTGAGTTAACTCCTGTGTGATCTTTCACTCCAGCAACACGAGCTTCCAGTTGCCAGGCCTCCTCGTTCGTCAAGTCGACGAAGATGATGATCTGCGAAGAGACAGAGGCGCAAGAGCTCCAGTGGTCATGGAGGACGTGGACGGGGAATTGGAGATGGAGGACGTTTCTCCCCGGGCCGAGAATCACTCGCGAGACGACAATAACAGTAGCAGCTCTTCGTTGACGAGGCACGAGGATGGACAGGAAGATTATAATCGAGGTCCACTGCCACCATCGTCGCCGCCGCCACCGCTACCGCCGCCGCCACCGCCAAGCCCGCCATTCCACCTATGATCGGGTCAGTCAATTCTCATCCATATTCTTCATTGTACGTATCTCTGGTGTGTGCCTACACATTTTTATATTGATCGACACTGCTAACCCCGCAAGTAAAATTCATCATACTAAGAAACCATTGTTTTCTCGTTTGATAAAGGTAAAGGTGAAGGTTTCATGGCTTATACCTGCCAGGTAGGTGTCATTATACACGAGACAAATACATTGGAAAGAAAGATATAGCTGGGTAGGTGGCGAAATTTGAGAATATTCGACTGCCGCGGATGTAATATTCCGTCACTCGCAAGTGGACTGGCACACGTGGCGCCATGACCCGCAGTTGGATTTTATTAAGAAAGCGCCCATCTGGTCTTTAAAAATACTCCCCCACGCATTGGAGTGGCTTGGGGCGCCTCTCTTTGCTCCCTCCTCCGCATTCTCCGCCCACGCCTTCATCGATTTCATCCATAGCTCGGAGCTTTGGTGTGATTCCAGCGGCGCTGGACCGATCCCGTGCCAGGTACGTTGAAATCCCGGTCAAAGTCCCTGCCGGGAGCTCAGATTTCGCGTTTGGATCGTTCTTGGCAGCTATGGAGATCAATGTGGTGAGGGAGACGATGGTGAGGCCCGCGGGGGCGACGCCACAGCGGGTGCTGTGGAACTCCAACGTGGACCTCGTGATCCCGCGCATCCACACCGCCAGCGTCTACTTCTACCGCCCGGATCCGAGCGGCGGCGAGGGATATTTCGAGGGCGGCGTGCTCCGCGAGGCGCTGGCCAAGGCGCTGGTGCCGTTCTATCCCATGGCTGGGCGGCTCAAGAAGGACGAGAATGGGCGGTTTGAGATCAACTGTAATGGCGAGGGCGTGCTGCTCGTGGAGGCGGCGGCGGCCAATGCGAGCGTGGATGAGTATGCTCGCGATTTCGCCCCGGATGTCTCGTTCCAGCGCCTCATCCCTTCCGTGGATTACACCCAAGACATTGGCTCCTTTCCACTTCTCGTTCTTCAGGTAAAGCAATTTCCCACTTTGCTCTTTCTTTTTGGCATTTCTTTTGGTCATCTTCCTTGTTCTTGTTTTCTTTTGTCATTCCCGTACGCAGTGCTTTTGGCATTTCATTCATTTATGAAAACTGTTGTGGTCGACTTCTTTTTCTCGCAGATCACTCGCTTTAAATGCGGTGGAGCCTCTCTCGGCGTCGGAATGGAACACCATGTCGCGGACGGCATGTCTGGGATAACTTTCATCAACACCTGGGCTGCCATGGCCAGGGGCGAGGATCCAAAGATCGTTCCATACATCGACCGGACGCTGCTCAGGGCGAACAAGCCACCGATCCCAAAGTTTCCGCACGTCGAGTACCACCCTCCGCCGCTTCTCAAGCACGCAGCGGCCACGAACGGGCACTCAAACGGAAAAGCAAAGCCTCAAGCCGGCGACGATGCGCCTCCCAGGATCGCAGTAGGACTTTTCAAGTTTACAAAAGAACAGCTCCAGGCCTTGAAGAGCCAGGCCACGGACGAAGAGACCAACACCACGTACAGCAGCTACGAGATGCTGTCCGGCCACATCTGGAGGTCCATGTGTCTCGCTCGCGGCCTCGACGACGACCAAGAGACCAAACTTTACATCGCCACCGACGGGCGAGCGAGAGTTGTGCCGCCGCTTCCAAAGCACTACTTCGGAAACGTCATCTTCACTTGCACGCCGATGGCGCTGGCCGGAGACCTGGTGTCGAGGCCACTCTACTACGCGGCCAGTGTGATACACGATGCGGTGTCCAGGATGAACGACGAGTACCTGCGCTCGGCGCTCGACTACTTGGAACTCCAGCCGGACTTGTACAAGCTTGTGAGGGGAGCTCACACTTTCAGGTCGCCGAATCTGGGGATCACGAGCTGGAGCCGGCTGCCGGTTTACGATGCGGACTTTGGATGGGGGAGGCCAGTTTTCATGGGGCCGGCGGTGATCGCGTTTGAGGGCCTGGTTTATGTTCTTCCCAGCGGGACAGGGGATGGCAGCCTCAGTATCTCGCTGGGGCTCCAACCGGAACACATGCCACGGTTTGAGCAGCTCATCGGGCAAATCTAGAGTCGATGGATGGCATGCTAAGATTTCTGTGAAATGCAGGCTCCACCAAACCTTTTTTTTATCTGCTCAACAACCAGCCATGGATTCTGTGTAATCATTTCAGAGTTGGTATGTAGAGAAGAGGTCAAGGAGCTTGCTGGACTCCTTCCCACACAGGCACAGCATGGAAAAACTAAAGTGGGGAATTCTGGATGGAAAAACCTTTTTGACAAAGTGATCTGCAAAATAGCCACGGAGGTGAGGTTGAGTTTCCTAGCTTAATTTTTCTTATATATTTGTTTAAACTATGCATTTCGATTTTGTCAAATGTATATATTCATCTTAACACTTTATTTCTGTAGCAATTACTTAATAAAAGAGCTTTTTTTAACTATTTTATCCTCATTTATTCTTTAACGTTTTAAGGATCCATAGTAATAATTTATCCAAATCTCATTCTATAATCATATATAATACATTTCTATATAAAACATTTATGCAATTTATGATGTGCAATAGAATGAACTCTAATCAGTTTAATCAAAACAATTTTCAGCTTTATAAATTCCTTGTCATACTCCATTTTATATTAAAATTTATGTCCAATTCTACAAATTATTTTATACTAAGGACATCTCACTTGTGTAATGCTTGTTACTCAAGCATGATATTATAGTCTGCAAAAATTAAAATGCACAACCCCAATTGTGGAAAGAAAGCAATAAAAAATATCACAACATTAGTTTTTATAGAAGAATCTTCTCACATATCAATACTTAGAAGCTAATGTATTTTTAATGTATGCAACTCCACTAAACACTTATATTATATCTTCACAAATCTATATTTGAGAAGTTTGAATTAAAAGTTTATATTTAGGGTTTAAAGTTTAATTTTATTGGTTAACTAAGAGAATCACATCAAATATTAAAATTAATTTTCCTTTTTGTAAATTGTAAACAACAAAAAAAAATGGCATCATAGACAATCTATAAATACAGTGAAATGACATATAAATAGACACATCCCTTTCCTCTTGGTTAAAGGTCTTGATATATGTGAAATTAATTGTCATTGGGGTGATGTTTTGGGAAGTTTAAATTAAGGATTTAAGATTTCACTAAATTGATTGTTCATTACCTTCACTTATAGGAAACTCAAATTAAGGAGGTTATAAATTGCTCAAACACTCAAACTGGATTTGGGTGTTTGCTCAAACCCTTTTTTTTTTTTTGCTTGATTACATCACTTAAGCTACTCCTGATTTTTAGCTATAAAAAAATTAATCAATAAATAAATAAACTAAAATATTCTAAATTATTCAATTCATTCCTTTTGATGCTAATAATGAGTATAATTTTGAGTAGCACGAAACATATATTTTAATAGAATTACATTAGTCTCAAAACTTTGCCATTAATAATGTTTTTATCATAAATAAATTCATATTCTTTAATTGTTTTTTATTAAAGCAACTTGTATACGGGTCAATGAAAATAAAAGTATACACATTATCAATCATTTTAAAATTTAAAAGGAAAATATTCTAAATCATGCCTCAAATGCTTTAGATTAGTGAAATTTAATCAATTGGTAGTTAAATGTATTTATTGTTATAAAAAATAAGTTAAACTAGCTCACGTCAACTCTTTTTTATAAGATAAAACATAAATATAATGTAATTAATCGGTTAATCCTCTATCAACACCTAAGTGAAGGCCTAAAATCTCGTAGGTCCCATAGATCAAGTGCAATGTAATCAACTAGCTGTAAAAATTAATCCTTCATTCTAAATTCTCCAAGGTTAAGGCCAAATCTAACATGTTAATTGCCAAATTGCATACAATGAAGATAGCACGCTGTCAAAGCAAAAACCTTAACGAGTATAATACAATCAATTGGTAGTGAAACTTAATCTCCACCAACAATTTTATAGATCTCATGGGGCACGAACGTAATCAATTTGCAGTAAAAAATAATCCTCGTCAGATCTGATGGGATACTAATAATAAAACATTACCAACCCTTTTTTGTAAAAGTAAAAACCAAGAAATCATACCTCAACAACTATAGATTCAGTATCGTAATGTACTCAATTAGCAGTAAACATTAGTCCTCTATTCTAACTTTGAAGACTTAGAATAGAGGACTAATGCTAATTGATTACGCCAAGCCTTTTAAAAAACAAAATCCCAAAGCTGCTATCATTTTAAATATTTAGCTAATTCCCATTTCTTACTTAAGAAATATAATTTGTACCTATATCCCTTAAGATCTCGCAGTAGACTACAGTTGAGCTACTTACCCCGCGTCCTTGGCATCATGTACACAGGCGTTTCCTAGCGCCGCCAGCTGTCAGTGACCAATGACCGGCATCGTCCGGTAAAAACCGGTGGCTACCCGTCCGTCCAATCCGTCCGTCCGTTTTAACGTTAAGAATAAAGATTTTATTTCAAACTCGCATTCCCAGGAAAAATAATTGCCTATCGGATTCCGGTGCGCAGAATATTCGTGTAACGACTCATCCTAGCCGTCCGTCGCGGCGCTGTGTTTTTTTTCCTACCCTGGGAGGTGGTTGTCCGCTTGGAGGCTTCTGAGGATTAGATTTTAGGTGTAGGAAAGAAGAAAGAGCGAGAGAGAGAGAGAGAGTGGAGTGGCGGCGCGATTCGCTGCCAAGGGACCGATCGAAAGTTGGAGCTAGGCAGTAGTCTCTGGAGCTCGGGCAAGGGAATGGAGGCCAAGGAATCGCCGTGGCGTTCGTGTTCTTTGCAGCGGTGGCGCAAGCGGCTGGAAGATCGGGCAGAGCAGCGGCGGCAGCGGCGCCAATGCAGCAGCGCGGCGATCCA